GGTGAAGATGCTATCTGCCCATCAATTGTTTTTCCACCCCTCCACAAATAATGATTACCATGTAAACTTTCCCACCACCACCACCTATGACACGAAGAGCAACATGAAAAATAGGAATCATTTTACTCTTGTGACTTACTTCTAGGTTTCACTTTATATCCACAGGAGAACAAATGCCACTTGCCGAGTATGGAAATGGAAATGCACTATGATAGTGAAGAGTGTTTTCATGGCCTGAAGAGGACAATTAAGTGGTGCTATGGAGTTGTGAAACTTTATTAGCCTATGCTGGTTTGCTATTGTAAAGATAACATGTAATCAGCAGTCGGAGAAAATTCTGAGGAATAATTGGACTTCTCTTCCTTGGGAAAATAGTTGCAATTGCTGGTGGTACTTTTTTGACCTCTCTGACCATTTGGATTTTGTGTAGCAGGGCACTTGCACTATTTCTACAACCAAATATCCTGCATTTGGATGTCATTTACAGTGACTGTGTATATTAGATGACACTATTTTATCTATATATAAATATTTTGTCAGGAATAAATATAAAAAAGGAATTTCAAGCAGATATGTTTGAACTATAATAAAAGATCAATGCTTTTATGTCCAGGGGCATTTAAAACCTTTATGGCCAAGCAAAACTTTTTATTTTGTGAACCAGTGTACTCCGCAGTAATTTTAATTGCTTTGCATACTAAAGATTTTCACAACAATTTAAGCACATAAAAGACCTTTATTTGGTCATTTCTTTTTTTAAATAGCCTTAATATATTTTTATTTTCAACAAGGAATTGGACAAAAATGCTCTATTAGTTTGTTTAATGCACAATATACAGCATTTTGTATACTTAAAACTATTCCAAATATTTTCACTACATTACCGTATTTTCTCAGAACTATATGGTCAATAAATATGTGTGTTTATTTAATAGTTCCAGATTTTAACTGACCTGACTGTCACAAATTTAGGCTCTAAATTTCAAGTGCTTGCCAAACAAAAAATCTAAGATATACAAATTTAAAGTATCATTTAATCTACACATGGGGCTTAATGTTTTGGGAACGTGGAGAGGAACATGTAAGTGAATGTAGGCCCAGTGCATAATTTTTTCACTATCTGTTTTCAGTACAGCAAGCCCTTGGGAACAGAAAACTCTGTTAGAAAACTTCCCTTAGACAACAGAGCAGTAGCTCTGGTTTATGTGCGTTCGCCCTTTTAGCTGCAATGTTATACTCCTATTTCTCCCCAGCCTTCTACCATTGTCACTTTTCTATTTTGGTGTTCTTGGCAGAAAGGAAAAAAGTGTAAGCTCATTAACCCCTTTGTCTTCCTAGTAAATGCGTAATTGGCTTAGTTGGATAGTAATGCTGCAATCACGCACATAAAAATTAATGGAATCTAGCTTTTTTTTTTAGTCTAGGAGGCAAAGTAGTAAATAAAAGCCTTAATAACAAGCTGAGGAAGCCACTATTTCCATGGAGCCATTAAAGTACCACTAAGCAGGAACTTCTTTCCACAGAGTCCAGGAGGTAAGGGAGGGTTAAAACCCGTGTAAGGATTTGTTTGCCATCTGTGTCCCATTGGTGCCCATAGCCTTTCTGCCTCATAGCCACAACAGGAAGTAAGAAGAAATCCCTATAAAATGAGGGACATACCTGTTGTCACCAGGTTGACCAGAACTAATGTCCTAATACCCCTGTATTCCTGTTTTGGTGACAGCTCAAATTAGGTAATTTATTTCACTTTAAGCCTTGATGATAACACACCAAGACAAACAGAGAGGATGAATCTCCCTAAGGGAACACATACAGCAATACAAAGGCAACATAGGTTCTAATCTAGTTTTAATCTCTCTGCACTCTATATGCAACGCAAAAAAAAGAACATGTGGCTTTAGTTCTACTCTAACAACAGTATATTGTGACATCTACAGGTCACGGGTGGTATAAACACCACTTATTCTCATAGTACATAAGGAGCTCACTACTGAAAGCAATTAGACAACCAAAATCTACAGAATTCAATCACAAAACAGTACTAAACATTCTGTTACCTCATGTAATCTTTGGTTCACACAGGAAGCTTACTGAATCTTTGAATATGCATAGTAGGTTCAGTTTCCATGTGTCTAGTTTGTTCATAGAAGTAGAAAAGCATCCTTCGTCAAATGAAACTTTTAAAAAGTCCTGCCTTCGAGGCACAAGTTGATGGGGACTCCATCAGACAGTTCATGGTGTAAGGTCCTTGTCTTTTCACTTTAAGTGAAGTATAACAGTTTGAATAAGCCAGGTGACTAGAGAGTGAGGCTAAACGTGTACTTTCTCACACTATGTTTTGGGTTAGTATACACCTTACCTTTTTTTTGTTGACCTTTAACAATCTTAGCAACTGATTATTTCAGAGGCACTAGACTTAAAGGGACTTTTTTGTCACTGAAATGTAGGTTAGTGTATTTTTGGCTGTCATGTTTTAGTTCTGCTGGCAGAGTAGTTGCATAAGTCCCTGTGTAGACATAAGAATTCTGTAGTAAAAACTTTCCAACATTTCCCTACATTTGCTGTCTAAATAGAGGTTAAGACTTGAGCATAATAAAGTGAGGATTTCCTATGCAAAATATTTATTTTTCTCAGGAAGTATTCAAACTCAGATAAAAACAATCCATTGTGGTTGGTCACACAATACCTTTGGGTTGCCTTCCCTTCTGTGTTTCTAAACCTTTATGCCTTTAAAAATGTGCTCGAGCCTTTTCTTTTCACCACTGCAGGCTCCAGGTCACAGTGACATTTGCCCGAAATTCCGAGTAGGGAAGTGAGTGCATTTAGTTTAAATACAGTACATTAAGGACAGCGCAGGAGCAGATAGGAGGTGGGAGCAGGGTAGTGGCTTGCCACTGAGGCTCTTTTTATAGACATAAGGAGACTCTTCCATTGTGCCAGCCAGGAGTGTGCGCGCAAAGGTGATGGAGTCCCGTGAAAACAGCAACCAGGGAGGAGGCAATTTTCAGATGACTATTAGAAAGCACCCACGGAATTAGGAGAAAACTGGACAAGCATACATGTTAAGTGATGTGGTCTGCAGTACGATATGATACTTTTGAATTAGCGTGAATAAATGCAAGCAGCTTAAGCACCTAAATTTGACCTGGTATCAGCCTCTTGCAGTCCACTGTGCATCATAGCTCAAACTGGGGGAGTTGTCACTTGACAAGCTCATCATTATGCTGCGTTTCTCTATATTGTCCAGTCACAGGGTGAGTGAGGGACAAGACATGTAGGAGTTACTGACCTACAGCAGAGAAAAATCAGCTCTCCTGCCCTGCTGGAGAGGGTTGTGCTGTGTGGCAGAGTTAGGCAAATTTCAGGATTGGATGAACAGAAATACAAATCATTTGGCATTTAAAACAACTCTGATATATGAATTGAATGTGTCTGTTTTAACTGTTTGTCTGTGGAGGTTGCATAAAACTGAGTCAAACCGAATGCTCTCTGTAGTGGTTAATCTTTAAAGCCCTGTATTCAATATAATATAAAGTAGCAGAGCAAGAAGTTAAAAGAAAGCCACATCATAAATGACTGAGGTACATGTTAAAATAGTAATAGTGGTCTCATTGAAAATGCACTATTTTTGATTTGATTTGAACAAATGGTTTAAGTGTTTTTTATATTTGGATGGAAAAATTGAGTACTGTTGTACTACCAGCTCCTGTCATAGAGTGCTATTGGTAATTTCATGTTACCACAATTATGTAACAAAACAACTGTTTCTTAGCTTATGGGCATATTCATAGTTACCAGTACTAGTTGTATACCTCTATAAACAATATATGTAATTACCATTGCATTACTATTGCATCAAAAACATGCATGTTGTTAACTGCAAATGAAGACTTATCAACTGATTAAGGAAATTATCCAATTGCCTTCGATGGGCAAAAGAGGGATTTGTTTCCATGCATTGAACATTTGTTTTGCTATTATGAGCACATACTGGTAGCTACCTTAATTTTTTTGCCTTATCCACCATTAACATCATTAGAACAATAGGATAGCATTTTTAATCTTACTATGTAATCTATTTATATAGTTACAGAACAAACATCTCTAGATAATTTGAAAGGTTCACTATTCTTATATGGCATAATGCTGAAGCATATTGGGAAATATACTATTTCCCAAAGACAGCAGACTCATTTGCAAAAATAAATGAAGGTATATATATATATATATATATATATATATATACACATATACACACAAA